TTATTAGGATGTGGTCAAAGATAAAAAGTTAATTAGCCAAGCCTGTACTTTGTAGATTAGATTCTCATCAGAATCTGTAATTAGAGCCTGCTAGAACCTGGTTCTAATCAATGAGGGAAATAGGTGGGCTGTGGAACTTTCAGGAATGACCACAGGGACTTCCCAGCACTGGGGCCGGGTTGGGGGGAGCCACTTCAGAAAATCCAAATGCTTTAGCAATGACACGGAAGCTGTTTTTATCCTCAGACCTGGCCTCAGAACACAGCCAAGTCACAGTCTCTGGCAGCTGGTGGCTGCTGCTCCTAACATCTCAATCAATGCTGAGTTTGTGATACATAAGGCGCTCTGCAGCCTCCTATGGTCTGTTCAGAGCAGGTTTTATTTCTGCCATTTAGGGACACTGGACTAAGTAATCATTACAATATGATGGTGAGTGGAACACAGGGCCTTCCTGGGACTTTTTGGTGACTGGAAAAGTGGCACTGCCATCTTTGGAGATTCACTGGTTAGGGGACTTGGCAGGTACGGCCTGATGTGCGGTGCTGTCTCCATCTTTGGACTTCGGTGGGAAGAGTTCCCACTTTCCCGGCAGTTGACCAAGAATGATGACTTTCTCCTTGATGCTGTCATGTCATTCTGATTAGTCACAGTGTTAACAAAGGAGTTCAGTGACCCCAGCTGTCATTCACCTCTAAGGGATTCTCTCAGCATACTCATGGGCTGCGCATGATATTTGGATCTGAACCTGGCTGTGTTATTTCCACTTGGAAGGAGTGGGCTGAAGTTTGGGCCATCTCACATGCCCTACTTGTATCTGTATTTAATCCCTGTTTAAAAGAGAAAAACCAACAAGCAATGGAAACCTGCTGGTACCACCTAGGCAGCCACATTCTCTTATAAATGCACTGTAATTTGTCTGGGCTTCCTCTAAATTGACCTAGAATGACTGAAATCTGTTCTCCATCATCTGAAAGGTGTGGCTAATTAGTGCTTGCTCTCTGGAACCTTCCACTCTCCCATTACACTCCTGACCTTGTTTTTAAGGGGAAGAAGGCAGGAGAAAGATGGAGGCATCGTCACCAATCCTCTCCGGGCCTTCTGGAATGCATTTTCCATTTACTAACCATCTCAGTGCTGCAGCTGTGCTGGGGCCATGTACCTTGCTTAGAGAGCAAATGTTTTTCCCTCTTTGTTAATGCTCTGCGTGTCTAATTTCATAGCTCACAGGAAGGGGAAAGTGCAGCAGTGTCATTGACTTTATTGCTTTTGTCCAGCCATGAGAAACCTTCTCATCTGCTCCCTCAATCCCTTACTAGTATGAAGCCCCCAACGGAATAAATCCTTCCTCTCTTCAAAAACATTACACTGTGATTGCAGGAGAAAGTGGAGGAGTGGGCGTGGTGCTCTGACAAAGGGGAACAATCAAAGTCTGATCTTTTGCTCGCAAAATGAGTAGTCCAGTTGAAGAGACGTGTAATCATTTGGGGAATTGAGTCGACTCTGCCTCTTGGCTCCCTGCACCTTTTCGTCATCTGGACGCCAGATAAAATACAGATGTTCGAGCGAGAAACACAGCACCAGACTCTTTTTCTCTTGGCTTGCACCACCTCTTAAATGCCTGAATGCCAGACAAACTCGTTTTCAGTCTTTTGGTTCAGCTATAATTCACAGAAGATATCCCAATCTGGATTGAATAACTTTCTTTCAGGCTCATCTCTGAAGCAGGCCTGGGGCTCTCCAGCCTCCCTTTGCTGCGTTTTGGAAAGTCGCATGTGCAAAAGTGTCACAGTAGATAGCAGCTGCAGACACCCTTCCTCTGAAAGCAGTCGGGGACCTCTCTCCTGCCCAGATTGCCACTCTCTGAGCTCATGTCCTGTGGGGTCCCCTTCAGCTAAAGCTGCCTCTGCAAGCAGATCCTCGACAAACTCCAAAACCAAGGATTTGGGTTTTTTAACCTTCTTAGCTATGGAGGGGTGATAGAAAGATTGTAATTACCTTGCAGGAAGCCTATCGTGGGGATGTAAAGGCAGGGAGGCCAAGTCTAAAGACTCAGGGTAGGAGTGGATCGCTGCAGGGCCTCACTCAGAGTCCTGGCTCCTATGTTCTTCTTTCCTCTGTCCTCCTACCTCTTTTGAGGACCAAGGCTTTCCCTGTCTACAGCTGGAGTGGGCAGCTTTCTTTTTTCGGTGCTGGGAATCAAACCCAGGGCCCCTTGAACATGAGGTGAGTGCTGTACCACTGAGCTACATCCTCAACCAAGTAGGCCAGCTTTCAAAAGGCAAACTCTGAGTGCTAGGGAGTGCTAGTTCACCCAGCAAGATCATCTGCTTTAGCCTAAGTTCCAATGTGTTCGGGTAATTGAAAGAGCCTCCCCTGTGAGTGAAGGTTTCCTTTATGATGAAAGAGCTGCAAATGGAAGCAGCATTCTGAAACTTTGGGGGAAAAGTTCGGCCACTTCCCACGTGACTTTCACAATCCTGGGCCCTTTCCCCTGCATTGATCACACCTTTCCTTCTGTCCTCCCTTGCTGGCCACATGCCAACCACAACTTCCTACCTTCAAGTTCCACAAGCTCCCTGAGACCTGGGAGTCTGAAGGTAAACTTGATTCTCCCTCCAAACTCATTTCTCAGAAACAGGTGCCGAAGAGGGAGGGAGGCAGAGGAGGTGCTGGGCCCTCAGTTTCTCCTTGGCAGGCACATACCGTTCCAGAACTTATCTTCCCTCTGAGGCTGGGTGGACAAGATGCATGTTCCGTGCTGCAGCTGTAACCCTTCTTGACAGCTGTTGCATTGGTCATAGCCCAGGCCAGTGCAGGTCTCACAAGCTCCATGGCAGGGCTCACACTCTCCCAATTCTTGGTCTCCATAGAAACCAGGGCCACATTCCTGTACGCAGCTGCCACCTTTGGAAAAACAGGGAGGAAACGTGAAGGAGAGGCTTGATGCACTATGCAAAGCCAGGACTTGAAGATGCTGGGAGACACTCAGGAACATTTTTTATTGTATTTGTTTTTGAAGAAACAAAGATGGCTTTAGGTTATTTTCAATCAAGGAACATGTTTTAATAAATCCAATACTTTAAGTTTTCTTTTAACTTAAATATAAATTGGCAATCAATTCAAAGGATAAGGAACTTTGAATAAAGACCTTAACACCCCAAGGCCTTAAAAAATTATAAATGAACAATTATTATTTTTTAAAATTATTTATTTCATAACCTAATGATTAGAAGAGGCATTTCATTACAACAGCATTGACATATTAAATAACAATTTCCAGAGCTAAGATACATCTCTTTCAAAATTGGCTGTAAATTTTTAGGTTTACAGTTGAATTATTAGTTATACAATTTTGTACTAAGTATAAACCCTATA